TCCTCCTCACCGATGCAGTTAATGCTAGAGGAAGCACCCTCCCCTTTGAGAAGTAACTCTGTTGTTTTGTTTTCAGATCCCTGAGAATCTTGTTCCAGTTAAGGAGAAAGCTGAGGCAGCACGAGGGGTATGATTTCCCTCCTTGGCTGCACAGATAATGTAACCCAACTATATCTGTTCTCATTTGTGAGCTGTTGGTAATTATTATTACAGGCTATCACCAATATTACTTTTGCTTCCAACAGCACATCTTCACCTCTGAGTCAAAAGGAAACGAAAGGCCAAGTGAAGGCTGAGATTTTGAGCATCCTCACAGACGTGGCAGATCTCTGCAATGCAATCCACTGGCTGCCCCCGGGATTTCTTTGGGCTGGACGTTTTCCTCCATGGTTAGTAGGTCTCCTGGGCACGATATCTTCCCTGATTGGTATCTACCAAGCATCTAGAGGAGAAAATTCTGAAGCTGTGTAATCCATAATTAAGCTTCAGAAGCCCAATTTTTACATGGTAGAAACGCCTTTAGTGAGGCAGGGTGTATTTTAATTCTCCTGAGTGTCGATCATTGTTAATTCCACGCATCCTGTAATTGGGATTGTAGCCAAGACGTCTATTACAGAGAAGATTGTGTACAGTTAACAATTTTTACCACTCTTCATCATAGAAATCCTTCAGGCAAGTTCTTTGAAAATCAAGAAATCTCCTAAGATTAGTAAAATAGAGGGGGAGGGAGAAGTCACTTCCATCCTTCCTTGTGCTGTCCCAAAAGACAGATGCAAACCTCCAGTCTTCACCGTCACTTAAAGGGCCACAAAGTCAACATTTGGTGGAGAAGTAACCACAGTTCCATCACACAAAACTTCTGAGGGATGGATCCTAGGAGTTCGGGCTCAGCGCTTGGTGCCTCACCTGAAGCAGGGAGGTGATCCCTGACATGGAAGTTTCTCCGTGGGATATTTTGGTGTTTGAGCCCAACGCAGATCCCTTAAGTGCAAATGGGAGCAAGCGGTTATTTTGTCTGTGACGGTTGTGTTTCTTTAGAATTCTGTAGAAGTGAGAGGGGGAAAGAGACAGCACCTGCGAGCAGTGCCTTGTGAAGCTGCTTCTCGTCTGTGTTGCTCATTTAAGGAGAAATCCTGGAAGTTGAGACTTTCCGGGTAAACCAGCAGCAGCAGTTGTGCCTTTACGGATTGCCACCGGGTGGAGCTCTTCCACAGCGGACTGTTGCTTTTTTTTTTTTTTTTTTTTAAAAAAAAAAAAAAGACAGCAGATTAATTAATCACTTTTCTAAGGACCAATCAAACCAATGCCAAGATGAGTTTTATAGTTATATTTCTAGGCGGTGCCAATAATAAATGGGATTAACACTTCAAAGGTGGCCTTGAGCGATCATTCCTTCTGATACCTGTTTACATGTTATCTGGTTCTAGAAAGCTCTGAACAGTGCCGAGGCGACAGAACGCGTTTGTGCTGCGTTAGCTGCAGCTCTGCATGTGTTACCGGCCTTCCTTCCACAGAAATCATCCAGAGCACCTGACTAACTGCCATGGAAATGGCTCTTTTGAAAACGGTTCTGCTTAGTCTGCGCGGTGCTTGTGCTCCCTGCAACGCAGTACGGCACCGAGTGCGTTTCCAGGAGGTTTGACCTTTTTTTGTTTGTTTTTGGCACGGACCGGGGAAACTATCTCCTGTCTGTGTTCAGCGAGCGAGGTCTTGATACTCCTTATCCTTCGCCCTGTCCTTGCTGTTTATCTGGACCTTCACCCCGCAGAGTACCCCAGCGCACGTCTTCCTGCTGGTGCTCAGAGTTTGGTGTTGGATTTACAGGTTTTGTTACAAGTCTGAGTGTGGGCAGGTGTATCTGGAAGAGACTCGTGTTTTCTCTCCTACTGCTGCATCTTGTGCACGGTTGTTACTGCCCAGTCCTCTCACCAGCTGCAGTATTGTGTTTTTAATGGATCTATCTCTTTGTATTCTTAACCTCATTAAATGATTCCTTCAGAACACTCCTGGTTACTGTGAGACAAGGTGTAACTACAGTGATTTAAAAAAAACCCGAACCAATTTTAGACACCTCTGATGCCAAAGTAATAAAATGCTAAACCACGCTTTTAATTTTAGCATAGAGAAAAGACGCTGTAAACTAGTCTAAGTGCATTTACATCATCCACTTCCTCATTAAGCAATTTTAAATTGCAGCCTGTGTAGTGCAGGAAAAACTGCAAAGATAAAGCAAAACCTGGTAACTCAGAACTTCTGAAGCTCATACTTTTGGTCCCCACTGACACATATTTAAGCACCTGTGGTGGCTGCTGGACTCTCTGGGGCTCTTTTTTAGTGCAAGACCTTGCATAGGCAGACCCAATCGTCCCAAAACCCTGCTGCTTTTTTTTTTTTCCTCTCTTTTCTTTACGTTTTAATTTTTCCTCTTTTCTGCTGTGGCCATCGGCTCAATTCGGCTCCTGCTTTGCCCCGTGCAGGAAAACATTTGCTGAGCAGGGACGCTTTGTCCCGGCC